GAATGAAGAAAATGTGACCATACGACGACCGGAAACTCGTAATTAAATTCATATCACCAATAAAGACCTTCTAACATTCACAGAGGACGTTTGCAAGCGGGCACTTTAGTATTCGAAGCCCATGTCAGTTTAACATTTGAGTTTTCGAAACATCACTTTTATATGTGATGCATGATACTGTTATACTATCATAGTTACCACACGAATTCATCTGTCTCTGAATGAATATTAAAATATGTCTCCATCAACACCTACAAATATAGTATTGTTAGAATACTGATACATCGTTTATCTTAAATGGAACATTGTCTCTTCAGTTGGATGTATCTATACTACATATATATTTATTTATTTTTTATGTTTCAGATACGTGGATCAAGGCAAAACCAAAATCTCCACAGAAATGAGTCTTGAAGTTCTTTGGTGACTGAATGTTGAAGACATGGCATGGATTACCACGTGGGTCATTGGTATTGTGTTTTCTGCCGTACAGGCCTGTAGGGTGTACAGTCCCTGACTATTTGTCCTAATCATTTGTATCTTGTTAACAGAGAGTGGGTGTTGTAGGTCTTGAACATTGAGCTTTTCCAACGCCCTGGTTCGTTTCAAAAAAATTTGGAAACGTTATAAAAAAATGTTCACAGAAAACGTTCCTTAAACGTTTCCGGAACCATACAACTTCACGTGAATAAAACGTTTCCAAAAGCATTTCTGGATTATTTTACAAAAAACATTTTAGAAACGTTATAACCAAATGTTTCCGGAAATTTTGTCTAAAACGTTTCTGGAACCATACAAGATCACGGGAAGAAAACATTTTTTAAAACATTTCTAACGTTTCGTAAAAATTAGGGTTGTTTGTATAACATTTTCGTGTTAGCTGGGTTAAACAGTGTTGATCATATTTGGTAAGGTAATACGGCCATGTTGTACCTCGTCCACAACCCACGTGCTTCATGTACAGTTCGACCGGCGCACACTGTATACTACATGTGGTATACGACCGCCTCCGTGGTCTAGTGGTAGTGGTCCGGGGTTCGATCCCCGGCCGCGTCATACCAAAAGACGTTAAAAGATGGTATTTGTTGTTACCCTGTCTGGCGCTCGGCATTAAGGGGCTAAAACAAGGACTGGTCGGCTCGGAGTCAGTATACTGTGTCTGAGTGGGGTATTCATGTTAAACTGCGGCATGGTATCTCAGTGAGCTAGCACTATAAATCGACATCAGCCCGGACTAGTACAAGCAGCCACACAAACACACACACGTACATGCACGTCGCTATATAAGTGCAATAATCTTGGACGCGATGTTAAACCAAATTTCACCTCACCTCACCACATGTGGTATACTGTTTAATATGCACCAAAGTGAGAACTCATGTGAGCCAAAGATGGTTAATACAGACCTTATATGAGACCGCATTCCATTTTGGATTTTGCAACACCCGCCTGAAATATTTCACATGAAAAATTCGTGTACAGAAATTCGTTATTCGACACTGTTTTGTGTTTTAATATCATTAATTTTGATTCGCAAAGACATTAATGTTTAAAGAAACCACGTTTGTGACTTTATTAATGAAACGCATAGAGAAACAAAGCTTACAACGGAGGTCACTGAGTTACAAATAGCAACGTCATAGAACATAGTATAGGATGACGTCACAAACAAGGGCGTCACATAGCAACAGAACAGATTGCTGAAAGCGGACTGCTGTCAAGTTACAGTTGCCCGCAGATTATTATTAACATTTGTTTTGACAAGAAATGTGCGATAAAGAAACTTTACGGCATAATATATTCGTTATGGTGTCTTATTATATGATATACAATAAATCAAATATACATACGTACACTCATCTACTTATCTTGGGCCTCCCAAACTAACCTCTATTCATTCATGTTAACCAACACATTATAAATATAGAATACTAAACTCGCTCCCGTGTAATACAAATTTTATGAAACGAGTGAATAGTTGTGGTATCTGACGAGCGAAAGCGAGTCAGATACCACAACTATTCACGAGTTTCATAAAATTGGTTTTACACGAGAGCGAGTTTAGTATTTTATTTATTACTTGTCATTTATAATGTTTTTAGAATTATACTGTTGAGTGTAAATAGGCTGACACCTACATGATCCATGGCATAATATCATACAATGGTCCACCTTTAGAATTCAGGCGTTCGTCCCACAAAATGATCGTAGTGCTAAGGCTATCACAACTCACATAATTTAACTTAGACTAACGGCTGTCGTTGCGCTAGAGTACGATCGCCTTGTGGATGGGGCCTTGCACCTCAAAGTTTACAATCACGTCACAATACCCGATGACGTAATTTGTTGAATTTTGTTGCAAGATCCATCGGCGAAACAATGCCATGTGACGTCAGCCTAGCAACAAGGTTGCTGGGGTCATCGAGTGTGCATAAGCTCCTCCCAGTGATCTATCATCTCCACACACAATGTCGTTGAATACGCCAAGGGATGTTGAGAGCTTTCAATATTTGTTCGTGAAACGTGTTCCGAGAGTACATAAGCACGCGTTTTGGTATTACACAATGTGTAATAAAGCTGTATGTTTATTAAACGGGTGATCTCTTCACGGGCAATTCTACCATGAATTTGGAATTTACTCGATTCTGATTGGTCAATCAGAGGCTATTAAATCACAATAAACCCCCTCTGATTGAAACAGATGGTTTGACGGCCGCATCACCGCGGAAGCTAATATTCATAGAATAGTACTATTTTCAGTCATTGTCGGTAGGCATATTTAAATAACTATATCTACAATTACAGGTTACAAAATGCCCAGATGCGGTTACTACAATATTCAAAGGATGTGTGGCAATACATTTCGTGCAGAAAAAAACGATAGAAATCAACAAAGGGAATGTATTTACGTTTTGGAGACAACAGAGAGCTTCGAATTTTGGCGCTTTTCTATACACTGCGCTAAATTTAACATTTGAAACCTCACGCTGCGCGTTCGGTTCCAAATTCAATTTAGCGGGGTTAAATCTACAGGTAACCTAGCTCTACATTGAAAACACAGTATGTTTATCTTCTAAGTAATAATTAAATTTTCGTTGTGTTCATGGAAATTCCTGCATTCTGATTAGCTGAATTGGTCACGTGTTATTGCATTCATTTTCCAATGAATGAAAAACATTAAGCCACGCCCACCGCGGCGCACTACTTTTATTACTGCGGAATGTCGGGGAATCCCAATATTACAGTAGAGGGACTTCCCTTTCTGCTCACGTGTATCGTCATGCACAGGACATTTAGCAACTTTCATGCATATTCATTGTCCAAACTACCCTTTGAAACCGAAGGCCGAGAATGAATGAAACAGCAAACGTGCAGGCTCCTCGCCTGTTTTTTCCCCGCTCGCCTCGGTTCAACTTTCATGTCTTCGGGTTTCATTTCTGACTAGCATTTCTCCAACTGTGTTTTACCGTAATCAGGGAAGTAATGTTTGAATCACGCAGTAAATGACCATGTTATTTGAAACAGCCGCCTTCTCTCGGACATATTTCTTCCGGTTCGTTACAATCTGACTGTTGAAGTTCTTTTCGCCTCTTACCTTAATTGACAGGTGCAATGAATATTGTTTTAATCCCACTCTCCCTTGATTGGCTACTGAATGTGTAGGCGTGTCAAGTTATGTGCATAAATTATACGATCACCTGATTCATGTCACGCCACTGTATGTATTCCTACACCTGGAATGTTTATCAATGTCGTCATTTTTGTCTGTTTTGATTTATGCAACTGTATTGTAGATAAAACATGTTGTCGAATTTAATTATAAGCATTGACTGTGTGTTTTTTTCGGTTTATTGAGGTATGAATCGAAAAACCGATGTGCAAACCTTTGTAAGAATCCGCTACGCGGATTCATACAGTTCAAATGTCATATCACAAATGCAAGAATATTCTTAAGGATAAATATGATCAAACGATTCAGGTACAACTTTCAGTACACCCCATGCCGTTTGCGTCAATGCTATGAAGTCAACTACCTCGCCCAATGTCAAATGTGTTCATGGTAATATAAAATCTACAGTTAGACCATTAGGGTTAAAGTTACCCTCGCCGCGTTGAAAGTTAGGCAATATGAACGTGATGTAATCGTCTACAGTTAGGCATTTGGGCGTGGTACTAATTTCCTTCCTTGTCGATAACAAGCTGATCACTGCCAAATTTGATGTTCTGGGAAATTGTGTACTTGACCTGAGTCAGGATATATTGCATAGAATAAACACTGGTTGTCCTGGTTGATTTACTCCGGGCGGTATGAGGGAATTCAACACACATGATTACAGCAAACACGTTTTCTACCCCGTCTATTGAATTGTGCAGTTTCATATGCACTGACAAGTCTATCAGATTAATGCGTCAACATTTTCCTGTCTGATGCTATTCAAATGGTGATGGCAGTATCGTGAAATGTACAGGAGCGAACATATTCGTGTGTATGTATTCAAGTAAGATATGAGTAAGGACCTGGTTCTATGCCACAATAATTGGGTTGTTTGTTATATATGATTGTTTCTATGACAACAGTGTGTGTCATTGTGAAGCATGCTAAAGAGCGTGTATGTAATATTTCACTGAAACTTGAGATAGAACTGGGTCGATCCCGACGCCCACCGACTACTGGAACGTGGGGGTGGGGTGGGGTGGTGTGGGGTGGTGTGGGGTGGGGTGGTGTGGAGGACAATGGTCATTACAGTTATGAATGGGGCAAGGGCGATCGGAGGGAGTAGAGATGGCAGGCTGGACGGGAGTAGATGGGATATGGGATAAATTGGGAGGGGGTGGTGGGAGGGAGTCTTATTTGCGCGTTTGGGTTTTCGGCGGATCCTCAAAGGAAAAGAAGATTTACTGGTGGGTGCACCATCATCGGAGCTTGCAGTTTTAAACGAGGAGAGAGACAATGTAACTTACAGACTTAACAAGAATGACAAAGTTGTATTCACACTTACCCAGAGGAAATATAAAACTGTAAACACAAAACACTAAAAGTCACCAAGTCACTGACACATGCCATTGAGTTCAGTTGGAATGTTTTGCCTTTGATGAAGTCCTTGGTTTTCTTTTAGTTTCTGCGCAGACAGGGCTTCGCATGTAGGGGTCGTTGTTCGTGCGTTGCTTGTACCTGTCGAAGGTGGAGTCCAAGGGTACTAGTTGTTCTTCACATCAGTTTGCCGTAAACCACACATCACAGTTATAATATGTGACAGAATCCTTTTCACCAAGCTACAAAGTGTCTGATTTGTGGTTTACGTGGCACAATTGACAGACAGTGTGGTCAACTGATCTCCTATTCACGATGTTGGTGGCTGCCTTCGTCAAGGTGACTTGTGCTGTAGACTCAGGATGGAAGGGCATGGTCTTCGTTCACAGCTGGCTCCCTACATACCATATACAGTGATAGAAGTAATATTTTGGGACAACGATCCTGTGAATTTTGAAATTATATACATTTCTCAAACCTTCGAAAATCAAGTTCACTATCCTGTTAACTTTGTATTACTTTTAGCGAAGCTAGAGGTGAGTCTGTTTCAGTGCGACGAGTCTGTACTAGATGCACAGTACGAGCAGACATCCGACAAGAATTTGCAATTTTATGTATGACAATACTCGTTCAAAGCAATCTCCTGAAACGTATTTGGGCAACTGTAGCCCAGGCAAATGTATGTGACACTGTGCACTACTTTAGAAATAAAAATTCTTTGATGATCTACTGAGCATCTGTGAGACAGGCTCCTCCCCTTTCAACAGGTCATACATCGCTACACCAGCCACAACACAAACACCCAGAAATGCCCATTTGCACCACCAGTTACTTGTATTCAGCGTTAAATAAACTTCTTCTGCTGTTGGGCGTCTGGATATATCTTGCCTTAAGGCTGCCTTGATGCAGTCTCCGAATCCCTGGTCAGCGACACCAGGGAGTTTTATTTCCCCTCCCACCTTGGCCAGACGGCGTCCATTGTAGTAGGCAACTAGTTTGTTGTGGTCAAATTCCTGACGCAGTAAAGCAAAGGCGATAACGCCAAGAGAGAAAATATCGCTTTTCTCTGTCAGAACCGCTTCAGGGGGTGAAAAACAAGTGTCTCCTGTCCCTTCTTCCCCGGCATGTTCCCGCGTAAGGCGACGAGCAGCAGACCCAAATCCTCCTATCTTATAAAGCGTTCCAGAGTCCCATGTCACAAGGATGTTTTCCGGCTGTATATTTCCGTGTATGATACCAATTTTATGAAGAAACTGTAAACCACTGGCAATGTCGGTCACGACAGAACGACAGTCGGCCTCGTCTAGAGGACTCTTCATGGTTAAACGTTTACTCACATACTGGTCCAGGCTGCCTTCCTCGCAATATTCAAAGGTCAGTGTGAAGCAATCTTCAGTAAAACTATCACCAATCATCTTGACAATGTTCTTGGCCCCTTCAGATCCTAAGCATTGTCGGAGTATGTCCTTTTCGGCGGCTGCATGACAATGTGAGCAGACAAGTACTTTCTTAAAAACCATTTCGATACCTATATTTTCCTTGTGCCCTCTTGAGAACCGACCAGGAACAAGTTCTCTTCCCGACATTCTTCGTATTCGTGGAATACAAGTCCTCTGAACAGTATCAAGGAAATGCGACGTAGTAGTTAGATTCGGCGACGGGTAGTTATATTTAGCCTGAACACCTGACTGTGAGTCAGCCAGTCAGGGCGTGGTTCAGAAAACCCTTGTTGTTTCTTAAGCCCGTCAGAACGACCATCGTTCGTCACTACTCGCCTCTCTCCGTAGCTTGTCCCGGAATGAACCACGACATCTGGTATTCAGCCTACTATGTAAACAGTTTATCAAGGCCATTGATTGAAAAATAGGTACCTCCTAACAGTACAGTAAATTACACTCGTCACTACTAAGCGTGGGATCCAGATGGAGAAGGGCCGGAGTCACCTGCGTATAAGGTCAAGGTCACAGTAAAGGTCTATATTATCGTATGTTTGCTATAAACACTAAAATTCCCTTTTGTGCAGATATGTACGCAGCGGTTATGTAATTTAAATACTTAACACTTATAAGCGGCGAGTGTTGACAATCTTAGGAGTGAGTGAGTGAGTGAGTATGGTTTTACGCCGTTTTTAGCAATATTCCAGCAATATCACGGCGGGGGACACGAGAAATAAGCTTCACTCATTGTACCCATGTCGGGAATCAAACCCGGGTGTTCGGCGTGACGAGCGAGCGCTTTAACCACTAGGCTACCCGACCGCCCCGACAATCTTATGATATAGGGAGTAGGCGCTGTAGCCATACAGATTAAATGAGCTAATATGTGACGTCGCACCGCCATCGTTTCGGCATATTGCAATATCAAATATAACATTCAGTAAACTTCATACACTATCTATAACCAATGACTCAACATACCAAGTTCTGAACATGTATATATACTGAACCAAATTAAAAACTTCACAATACTAAAATTTTAACATTTTCACCAGTTATCATTGTGGGCCCTTATTGTGTATCTGAACAGTAATGGCCACGTATTGTCTTTAGATAACACCCGTTTTTTGTGCAGGTGAATCGATCAATATCATGTGCACAGCACTATAGTGGCAAAGGTGTTTTTTCACGTGCAACTAGTCAAGTGGCCATAATACCGCACGTGTTTTCAGCCATACTTGTCTTACGTCACCTCCGTAACCGATTTTTGACGGCTACATCAACCAGAAATAAACTCTTTAGGGGTAGACTGAGTGCGCAAACTGTTCGAAACCGTCTGAGAACTGCTCACCTTCAAGCACGACGGCCATACTGCGGGCCGACTCTGACTTAATTACACAGACATCAACGTCAATTGTGGGCACAGCGACACTTAAGATGGACTCAGAGGAATTGGAATCAAGTCGTCTTCAGTGATGAATCCCGATTTAATCTTCGATTTGCTGATGGTAGTGCGAGGTTGTGGAGGCGCCGTCATGAACGTTACGCCCAGTGTTGTGTACAGGAAGTTGACAGATTTCGAGGCGGAAGTGTCATTGTGTGGGGTGCTTCCTGTGGCAATGCACGTTCCAGGTTTCTTGTCATCCGTGGCAACCTCAACGCTGCTGCTTACCGCGACCTGGTGCTGGCACCAGAACTAATGCTTTTATGGCAGCACATGGACCCGGTTTGATCTTCCAACGCGACAATGCCAGACCCCACACAGCAATTTTGACACGGAATTTCCTTCAGAATGCGGGAGTCAACGTCATGGACTGGCCGTCAAGGTCTCCCGACCTCAATCCCAGCGCACACGTCTTGTATGCTCTTGGCAGAAGTCTGCGCACTCTCCAGAACCAACCACAGAATTTGCAACATCTTGGCACCATTTTGCAGCAAGAATAGGGTCACAAGGTCCATGCGGAGGCGTTGTGTGGCAGTTGTCAACGCACATGGTGGCCATACACGCTACTGAACTTGTGTGCCATCAGATTCTCGTGCTTGGGACTTATGATTTAAACTGTTGATGTTATTACCGAATACCGTAGGTGCTTGGAACAAATTATGGTTACCACCGTTAATTAAAATCCTTCTTTGGACATTAGTGATTAAAAATTATCTTCTCTGTTTTGTCCGTTTTATAACATATATGGGATTACTTTTAAAAATGTGAAGTTTTTAATTGTTTATGTAACTATAATCTTCATATACAAACATACGAATAAACAAGTATATTAATTATAACATATCTTCTCGAAATTACGAGCTTTTATTGTTTTTCTTGTGTATGTGCGGATGAGTACAGCACAATGGGGTGTCTAACTGTGTAGCAATACTGCGAAAAGGGTCCGTGAACATAACAACAAAAGAACGTGAAACATGGACATGGAGGTTGGGGGTGGGTCTAGAATGTAGGTTGAGGGGAGGAGGGGAGAAGGGGAGGAGGGGAGGAGTGACACAAGTGGATTTCAGGTACCAGCAGGCTGTAGGGAATGCCCCATGGATCAAGAACATTCATGTATTAAAGTATAAAGTTTGCTATGACCTATTGTCCTTAAAGCACGAGGATGCTTGCGTCCGAGTGCTTTGACGTTTTAATAGTTCAGAAAAAATATACTTTATTACGTTACATATGGAGGTAGAGCAAACTTTATTACTTTTCTAAGATGCCGAATTTAAGACTGCAATACACAATAAGGAGCGCCGTAAATTGAAAATCCATAAACAGGCCCAACTGATGGGCTTGTTTCAACCTAATCGCCTGCATCCTATCGTTAAGAGACAAGGGAGAGAAAGGATAACGTCAACGATCATCTGCCTAAACAGATTCCACTGGCCGTACAAGGCAAAATGGTGGTGAAAAGGATATAACTGAAAATCAGTGATGACAGCAGGGTTTCGCGAAATGGGTATCATGTCCTGCCCTACCGACAGCACCCATTTGCACTTGTAATAAATTGACTGGGAAAAATTACAAAAGCCTTCGTGAAGATGGAGACAAATGTCTGGCTTATACTGAACAAGGAAGGTGCAGGGCTGGGATCATGTTCGTCAAACAACGGCCTAGGGAGGTTTGTGAAGCTGACACTGGATGGGGGCTGACCAGTGTGGCGGTCGGGGGTGGGGTAGGGAGGGGCATGGAGTGGGAGAACAACAACAGTCATAACAGTTATTGATGGGGCAACGACGATCGGAGGGAGCAGAGATGGCAGGCTTGTGAAGAGTAGATCGGAAAATCAAAGGCGTATATACGTTTTGGGGGGAATTCAGCGGGGTCTGTCTTATTTGCACCTTTAGATTTTCAGTGGATCCTCCAAGGAAAACAAGATTTACAGGCGGGCGGACCAGCAATTGAGTTTGTAGGTTTGAATGAAAAGAGAGGCATTGATACCTTTAAAACTTAACAAGAATGACAAAATTGTATACAGATCTATCCAGTGGAAATGAGCAACTGGAAACACAAAACAATCACTAAAAGTCACCAAGTCACTGACACATGGTAATGAGAGTTCAGCTGAATTGTTTTGCCTTTGATGAAGTCCTTGGTTTCGCATGTAGGGGTCGTTGTTCATGCGTTGCTTGCATCTGTGGAGTGGAGTACAAGGGTACTAAAGAACTGTCGGAAATGCTAGAAAACTGCTTTTTGCCTGTTAAAAAAAGATAATTTTTAACAGACCGTTGTTTTTGAAATTTCGAGTAACTACCGATCGCCCTACCTGTGGTTTGAAGTATTTCAGTCACAAGGAGTCCTATCTACAAGTTTACAGGAGACAAATTCGAACGAAAACAGGAAGTTCACATTTATTCTTAGTCCAATGATGGCAGTCTGAAACGGACTAAAGAAATTTGCGCACGTGACTCCGTTAAAATTATAATAAAGTAGTCTTCATAAAACATCTAATCCACAAACAAAAATCATTTTGAGAAAATTCTAGATGTGCATCTTCTAAAATGACAAAATGACGATGCGTTTGTTTTTTTAACATTGCTCCCATGATGCATGTTACCCTGACTTGTAGTAGCATTTGGGAGGAATTAAAGATACAATCAATGTTAACTGCACTAACTATTGCCCTCCAAGAGATGGGATTTCGATACACTGTGCAATGACCGAGCACTTTTTAGGGGAAAATATTCCATCCTGTCTAGGACACATGATCTCCGAACCATTCATAACTATCACAGTCAGGGCGTCCAGATAATCTACCTTGATGAATCATTCCACTGACTACATGTGGCTATCGGCAGATGGACAAAAAGCACTCATAGACCATCAGGAAAAGGTAATCGTGTCATTGTTTGCACGCTACAACCCATGATATGGGGCTTATTGATAGATGTGTGCTAGTTTTCGAGGCGAAAAAGAAAACTGGTGAATTTTCATTTAGGTGGTGATGTGTTTATAGACTGGTTGGAACTTCAGCTATTGCCCATTTTAAACAACGTCAGTGTCATTGTCATAGATAACGCCAGTTAATATAACGTCCGGGAATCAGACACTTTCGCCCAAACCATGAGTAGTCTGAAGGCGACCATACAGGAATATATGACATTGTCGACTACAGACCATATGAAACAAAAGTTCAACTCATTGAGAAATTTCAGCTGAATAAGAACCCTGTAAAGTACAGGACATATGTGGTGGCGACACGGTCACGTTGTCTTAAGTACACCAGTCAGATATTGTGAGCTCAATCCTGTTGTGCCCATCTTGGCTAAGTGTACAGGGATCGTGGCAAGACATAACACAACATTCAAAAGTACAGGTTCATATACGTCATCAGCGGAGATAAATGCTACCTCAAGAAATCATCTGTAGAACAACAAATATTTCTGGATTCCAAAACCGCAACTTTCCAATACTCATCCCGTTTCATAGCTCTTAACTATTCAATCATGTTTCCAAGCAAATATAATGCAGTACATATCCTTAATTGCTACCCCATCAACGCACATGTCAATTAAGTACAATAACAGCAATATTTTGAGACCCTCCCCAACTCGGTGACATTTGCACCTGGGAGAATGCACGGCTCGGTGTGAGGTCATCACCTCGGGACAGGTGTTAGTTAATTACCTCAGGTTATAGGTCATTTCATACATGCATGACAAATATAGAAGAAGAAGAAGAAGAAGAAGAAGAAGAAGAAGAAGAAGAAGAAAATTGTTTTATTAGAGTGTCACATGCTACAGTACAAAATATATGGACATATAAACATTTCATTAAAAAAACAGCACCCGGCCAGTTGGCCTACGAGACACTTATATCATAATGGTACATTTAAAATATATATAAAAATTATTTTTTTTAAATGTAGTTGTAACTTTGTATATTACTACACCCACAC